CTTCATCACACACACTGATTAAGCAAAAGGGAAGAGGATTCAAACTTAAAAGGTCAGGAATAAAGGGGAACTATGTCAACAGATCTTACAAACATAAAAAAAAAAAAAAAAAAGAATACAATGCAAATTTTAATGCCAGTAAATTTGTAACTTAGATGAAAAGGAAAATTTCTTTAGAAATTTACAACTTATCAAATTTGACACAAAATAAATAGAATATTTGAATAGCAATATACTTAGTATATTAACAATTTGTTATCAATAACCTTCCTAGGCCCTGATAGTATCATTGAGTTCTATCAGACATTTAGGGAAAAATAACACTAATATTATTCAAACTGCTACAGAAAATACAGAAGGAAGATAACTTCTGACTTGCTTTATGAATACAGGATTATCCTCATACCAAAACTTGATAAAGAAATTATAAATCAACATTATTTATAAAAATAGATACAAAAATTGGCAAAATACTATCACATTAATTCCAAAAAAGACAATATATTATGACCAAGTTGGGTTTATACAAAAATGCAAAGTTATATTAATATTAGAAAATTGTTCAGTGTTATTTATCATATTAGACTAAACAAGAGAAACCATTTATAATAAAAGCAGAACTTCCTTAATCTGATAATGGGCCATATGAAAAGCCTGCATCTGACCTCATAATTCATGGTGGAAGACCAATTGGGAACAAAGCAAGGTTCATCAGCTCACCATATTTATTCAACATTTTACTGGTCATCTTAGCCAGTGCAATAAGAAACAAAAGCATACATTTCTGAAAGAAAGAAGTAAAAACTCTATTCACAGATGACATCATTTTTACATAGAAAATATAAATCTATAAAACAACTACTGGAACTAATAAGAGAATTTAGCAGTTTGTAGGATACAAGAGTAATATAAAATTCATTTACTTATATATGTATATATATAATCAACAAATGATTGGAAATTTAAATATAGAACAATTCAACTTTAATAGCTTCCCAAACTAGGATATTTAGGAATAAATTTAACATGGACTATGTCATACTTCTACAATAATGAAGAGTCGTTTCTGAAATAAAGAAGGCCTACATAAAGAAAGAGATATACTATGTACCTGGGTTTGCTAAGAGCCATAGCCAAGCAGTATGGTGCATGGCATTTTTGGTTGAAAGGTGATGCCAGCAAGCCATTGAGATGATATGATTATGTTAAGATCTGCATTCAGGGGCTGGGGATGTGGCTCAAGTGGTAGCGTGCTTGCCTGACATGCGTGGGGTGCTGGGTTCGATCCTCAGCACCACATACAAACAAAGATGTTGTGTCCACCAAAAACTGAAAAATAAATATTAAAAAATTCTCTCTTTCTCTCTCTTTAAAAAAAAAGAAGAAGAAAGAAAATAGTCTTGTTTCACTTGGCCTAAATCAAGACTTTCCCATTCTCCAAACAGCCCTTCCCAAAGAGTACATAAGGTGAATTAAATGAAACCTTTTGTGTGTGTGTGTGTGTGTGTGCCTGTAAATTGTGAATGGGAGAGTAAGGTAGCAGCCACATATTCACACTTATTTTTTCGTTTTTGTACGGGAGATTGAATCCAAAGGTGCTTTATCACTGAGCTACCTCTGCAGTTCTTCTTGGAGAAGCTGACCATGCTGACCTAAGTCACAAATGGCTTGAGAATCCCCTGAATTGAAACCATATGCCTAGCCACTCTGCCATGCTTTCTCGTTCATTATCATTCCTGCAAATATATTTTTCTGCAAGGGCTTCACATTGTTTAATTCATTTCCGGCTTAGTAATATCTGGTTTCAGTGATTACAAACACTATCTCATTTGCACACGATGAAAAATAAATAACCGAACTCTTTAAAAAGATTCAGTGTGAGTCTAATTTTCTAATTCACTTTGTGTCTTTAGCGTAGAGGTCCAACTATATAAAATATAGACTTGTCTTCCCTTCCCCCTCTCCGCCCCACCTCCTGCCGAATCAAAGGGACAGCATTAATTATAGCCCCTAAAGCAGATTAAGATAATAGTGGGAAAGGACCCGCCCCCTCCTCTGCCCAGCCCCGCCCCGCCCCGCCCCCGGGCGCTTACTCTCCTCGAAGGTTTTGCAGAGCTCCACGCAGATCGCTGCCAACTGCGAATCCGAGATGCCAGGGCCAGGCTGAGCGGTGTCGACCGGCGGGTCAGATCGTGAGAGGTTGAGTCTGACGGCACCGGCTTGGACCTGGAGGAAACGCCGCACATGGACGCGCCTGGTCCCTTGACTCCTGGGGGACCAGGAGGTGACCGAGAGAGCGGGGACGGGCGAGAGGCGGTGGCTTGGGGCCTGTCTCTTTAGTCAGGATCGAATTGACTTTAGCATGGTTTGTTTTAGAGAGATTGGAAAGGCTGGGTCCTGACGTGGGGTTCAGGCCAGCGTTTCTTTCTCTGGGAAGGGTAGTTGGAGGCCTGGCTATAGTTTGTATCTAGTGACTTTTCCCCCATAGCTCTGCTTTTAAGTTCTGTGTGTTTAAGAATGAATTCAAATAAGTATACCATTAGACAAATGTAAAACATTATCTTTTAAGTATTCACTGTTGTTCCCCTTTCTTTTTAACTTTCTCTCATTTCCCTTCTTCATTTACTACAAAATTTTTATAAAGATTCCTAAGACTTCCCCATGTTGCACAGATTTGTTTTCTTCTGGACTATAGTGGCAACCTCTGGGAACAAGTAGAACAAATCGAATATATTTTTCCTTTCTTTTTTTTCCCTCTCAGAATCATTTAAAAAAAATGCTACTAAATGTGCTGCAATGTTTGAACCTGAGTATTTGACTGGATGTTTAAGTTAAATGACAATTTAGCCCTGGAAACCAGTGTTAAATGAATTGATGCAATAGACAGTAATTCGTGTTAAAAAAAAAAAAAAAAGGATCCAGTTAACAGATTTGTGGGACTTGCCTTTTCAGAGATATATCATATTATTAATCCACCATTTGAATTTTTGACTTACTTGCCACTTGACTTCAATACTGCCCTAGAATTCCTAATAAACAGCTAAAATTCTATGCTTAAAACATTTTTGAGTCCATATAACTTATGAAGCTAGTAACTTGAGAAAATAAGGGACATTAATTATACTTCATAGAGTGGTACCCTTTGGAGATCACCCTGCTGCTCATCTTTCTTCAAGTGATTTATTAAATACCAGGGAAATAAACTTTATGGTGAAAGCAAAACAGATGGCAGGTAATGTATGCATTGAGATTCTAATAGATGGTAGTGTGTGAATGAATATAATATGTTTTCAATATTGCAGTGATGTCTCCCAGGATTGTTCTCTATTTGGTCACATGTGTTATATTTAAAATAGTCCTAGCTCAACATATCTCTTCATAGTACATTGTTTTTGCACAGAAATGACACTTCTGTATTTCCATCCATAGTCCCAATTACATGACTGTAATTGCAGTGTGTTTGCATCCAAGGTGATGGCCCTTCAGGAAGTTCAAGAGAGACACCCAGACGGCTTTCAAGAGAACAACTGTTTGTACTAATATCTGCTGCTTCCATGAACTTAGGGTCCATGATGGCCTATTCTATCCTTGGACCCTTTTTCCCCAAGGAGGTAAGATGTTTTTGTATCCTTATGAACTCTAATTTAAAAAAAAAGCTTTTTGAGTTATTTTATTTTATAATATTTAAAATATAAAAATCTGCTTATAATATAGTTAATACATAAGATTTCAACTAAAAGAATATTTCTTCTAGAATGTTTTAACACCAGGAAAAAATAAAAAATAAAAAGAGAAACAAGTCTAGAAAGACTATTCTCTTGGAAGGTAGTTCAACTAAAATATAATTGACCCTTTGAGTGTTACTTTGTTTACCACGTAGTTTGATTAATCATATTTGATATTTGCAATTAAAAAAAACAAAAAGGAGGTGCTTTGAATAGTTGAGATTTAAATGTTGTGCTACAGGTCTCCATTAAGACAGGACCCTAAGACAATAATGTGTTCACTTACTGGTTTTCTGATTTATTAGTATTTTAGAATTAAAATATAGTGTTCCAGTGAATTCCTTTTTCTGACTTGAATTTCTTATAGACTCTAGTAACGTGAAGGAAAAACTCTGATTAATATTGCCTAGTTCTCTCTAATCATAGCCTTTTCTGGTGTTAGGATCTATAGAAAATGTCACAAAGAAAATAACCCCTGGAATCAAGGGGTGTAATATGGGATGAAGGGGACGGGCTTGGGCAAGTGGAAATAGTATGTCCATGTGTTTTATTTTGTCCTCTTTGCCAAAGCCTTGGGCTTACAGTGTATCAGCAGTTTCTCAGCCCTCTATCTGCCTTGATGACGTGTAGTCCTTCATTCTATATGCTACAAAAGAGGATGAAGTGGCTTCTTTGCTAAAAGAACAATGAGGCTCTGTACCCATACAACCCTCTCCCGTTTTCATTACATGTTCCCACCCACTTACCCATTTGGTGCCTACCACAACCACATAAGAAGGGTAGAATAGTAAGAATCCCATCATGTTGCAAATGAAGGCCATCATATTGCAAATGAAGAAACAGTTTCAGCAGTGAAGTCACTCCCCCACTTCAGTCCTATTCACTAGAGGTTTAGTAAGTTCCTACTCTTAAGTATGATGGGTTAGAGAAAAAAAAATCAAGAAAATGATCCTCTCTTATCTGTCCATTGGGAGTGAAGAAATATGACAAGAAAGGTTTCAGACTATTTGAATATCCTTTAAAAAGAGGATGCCCAGAATGTTATGAAACTCAAGAAAGAGGATGGTTAATTCTGCCATGGGCAGAAGAGTGGCCAGGTGAAGATGTGGTATTGAAAAGAACTTCACGAGATAAATCTAAGATGGGTCTTAAGAGATGGTGGTGTCTAAGGTGAACACAGAGGGGAGGGCATCCAAGGTATGTATAGTCATGCAAAGAACAAATGAATGGTGTGGTCCTGGAAAAGAGAAGACAGTTCAGTGTAAATGAGCCTAGGGTGAGGTGAGATCTGATAGGAGTCCAAGAATCCCAGGGGCATGCTGCATCTAGAAGGCAAGGGCACTTGGATACATGCCAAGGGCTCAGTCACTGGGAAGTCATCAGAGGTATTTGAGCATAATGGTCTGACAAGACTTGGGGTTTGTAAAAAAAAAATGATGGGAGCCTCTGAGGGTATAGAAGGAAAATCCAACCTGAACCATTTCTCTTGCTATGCACTCACAGCACAGATCACTTCTGTGGCCTCAAAACAGGCGGGGATTTCTCCTCTCCAGCCAGCGAGCAATTCCTGCAGCAGCACACACCAGCTAGGTGTCCTCTAGTGTCAGATAATGTTCTGACATTATCTTTTTGAAGATAGCATCAGATCTCATAGGTTGAGAGCTCAATTCCCAAAACTGCCACCTGCCTTCAGATGCCAGTCACTAACTAGTCCCAGATGTTTTTTTTTTTTACCTGTTCTTCTGGCTGTCTGGCTATATATTGGGGTTCCCATAACCCCCTCCTTGGGTTCCATTACTTTGATTGAGTGGCCACACACCTCAGGAAAACTCTTAAGTGTCGCAGTCTGGCTGGGCACAAAATCACGAGCCACTCAAACAGGAACAAACTTTATTTTTGAAACTCCCTCCAATGCCCTGTATGCTCCCGGGAAATATGCCGACCCACACACCTGGTGTTCTCCCGGACACACACCAACAGGAAATCCCTCCTCCGGAATTCCCTCCTACCGCACAACCAATGGGAACTCTCCAGGTTCAGTAGAGAGTTGCAGGCCAAGGTGGACAGCAGGGGTCTAATATCCATTTGAATGCAGATCTTAACATAATCATATCATCTCAATGGCTTGCTGGCATCACCTTTCAACCAAAAATGCCATTCATCATTACTACTTGGCTGTGGCTCTTAGCACTTAAGTTTACTGATTTATTATTAAAGATATAGGTGAAGAGATGCATTGGTGAGGCATGGGAGAAGGAGCATGGAGTTTCCATGCCCTCTGTGGACACTACCCTCTAGGAACCTCCATGTGTTCAGCTGTCCAGATGTTCTCTAGACCCTGTCCTTTGGGTTTTTGTGGAGACTTCATTGCATAGGCCAAGTGCTTATAGATTGGGTGGAGAAACTCAAAGGACCTGTACATACAGTTTCATTTTGGCCTCCCTGTACAGCATTCCTTCTCCAGGGGATACGACAGGACTCTCTGTAATGAGGAGGCTTTCGTAACAGACAATGTAGGTCAGAGTTATAAGCCAGGAACCATGAATGAAAACAAAAATATATGTATCATAATATCACAGAACCTGTTGAAATAAGATGGAGAAAAACTGGAGTAAGTGGATTGACCATTTAGAAGGGCATTTCCTGGCTCACTTGAAACTACTAACTGAGCACAATTAATGTTAGTTTTCTCTAAGTGGAACAGGAGCAAAGGAAAACCCGACTGTGGGTTTGTGATTTTAAGTTTTTGTTGAGTTTATTTGCTTGTAGGGGAAAAGGTCAAAGGAAATAGGACAAATACAGGTGAGAGAGAGCATTGTAATTCTAAAAATTGTAGCTATGAAGATCAGGCTCTCCCTTTTCATTCTTTATAAAAAGCTTGTGGTCACAAATGCATTGATAAAATCTCACCCTGCCTTCTGCATGTTCTGTCACCCTATTAGCCAAAGCTATTTGAGCAGAAAGAAATAGGCCACTCTTTTTAGTTCAGGTACAAGATTCCTACTTCTATTCATCATTTTTCTGGCCATCCTCATCCTTTGCAGATGATTCCATGTGAATTAGAAATTTCTTTCAAAAGCTGTTGTTGCTGCTGCTTGTGAAGCAGGATCCGTGTTCCAGAAGTAGTGTTTGCTATTGTGACATGTGACTCTAGGACGTCCCATGTAACCATTCTGTCTCCACTGTGATTGTGGGTACACATGATGGAAGCTACAGTGGTTCAAAAACTGTCATCTTCACAAGCCCATGTCTTCATCTACAAATGGGGCCAACTAAACATATATCGCTCATTTGATTGTTAGGCACGTGTGAAACAATATTTAGTGGTGATTCTGGCTCATGGTAAAGATCCAATAAATACTAGTTGCTGTAGCCAAAATTCTATGTTTTCTGCTCGATTCTAGAATTAAATACTTACCAGATCTATTAAGTGATGAATGTTCTATCTACTGACCAAAGTATGTTCTTCCTACATCTTAATTGACTCCTTTGATAATATTTTCCCTTTGCTGATCATTATGTATAAGAAATGTAGACTTCAGGTTTCAGTCTACATATAGGATGACCTTTTGCTAAGATACCATTATAAGTATCTTAATAATGAGATAGTTCTTGTCTCCATAACAGTATCTCATGTGTAAGTAGTACATGGAAAGGGAATGGCCAATTATGAAGTCCATAGAATATTAGATTCAAATTCAACCTAAACAGTGACTTCAGTGCTGTGGGCCCATCCTCTCCCCACCCACCACCAGTTGTCTAAGGACCACATTTATGGATGTCTTCCTGGAAAGAGATGTAGGCCTTCCTAAAGTTCAGCTAGAATAGTCAGTTCACCTGTCTGGTTTCTTGTGGTATGATGCTCTGAGAAATATAGGGTTTAATTAAAGGTGTGTAGTCTGACATGAAAAGAACATCCTTGAAAAAGACAGGATTTGATAACAATGATATCTTATATGGGAAGGGATGGAGGGATTTTTATCTTAAAAGTTTCGTTAGAAAGGTAAAGAAATGCAGTGTTGGCTGTTGTAGACAATGGATTTTGAAGGGTGTGTGAGTGAATGTTAACTTTCTATATTAAAGTCGAGTTATTTGAAGCTTTGGTGAAAGGATGAATCTAAATCTACCTCTCTGACCATTAATGTTCACTGCTGGTGTGGTGCCTAACACATGGAAGATGCTCAATAAAAGACTGCTGATTGTCTGAGAGGATGGAGGTGTGTCATTCAGGCTTTGAGCATCACAGTATGCTAATCTTATCTTAAAAACATTAAAGTCATATTTTAACTTCTTGCATTGCTGGAGCCAGATAGAAGGATCTGCCACATTTCCAGAGTTTCTAAGTTATTAAAAAGTTCTTTGTATGTTTATATTTGAATTCAGTTATGCATTTACAGTAGTAGCATTTTGAGTTCAAAAGTAGATTCAGGATAAGTACTGCATCATCTGTAGTCAACTTCAGAGCTCCCTGATGGAACAGGCTGTAAACATTAATGATTATAATGTATGGATGATAGACTACCCTACGTGTTTCAGGAGAATGTGGAGTGTCAGGGGGATTTTTTTTTTTTTTTTTTTCATCTGGGTTGTGGATGTCAGAAAGGAAAACTGTCTTCTCAGTCTGTCAGGTACTAGGTTAGAACAGCAGAAGCAGGGGACCAAACTGAATAGGATTTGGTGTGACCCACATTTTGGTTTATGGAATTTCCTACCTTGAATTTTTTATGGACAAGTGTTTTTGGATTTTTTTGGTTGAGTACAATTCTGTAACTAAAAGGGATACTAAAAAGGAAGTGTGTCTAAATCAGCTGTTTCATCAGTCCTGTGACTATGAAGTAGAGCCCAAATTTCCTCACCCAAGGTATTTTGAGTTGTGTATGTTCTTTAGTTCTGACTTTTGCTAGCTTAAGGGAACAATTCTTTGTAGGCATGGTGAAATGAATTATTTTCATGTCAGAGACTGGTTTTTAATATATAGTTTCCCTTTGAAAATAATAATTTTTGAAGTTACTGTATAGATAAAAGTCACAAGAAGAAGATGTTCTGATTGCATATTTTTGTCTTTCCATACTGTGCTGTGTTTGTCTTTCAAACATTGTTCCCATTTGTATTTTTTCAAAGGCTGAAAAGAAGGGAGCCAGCAATACTATGATTGGCATGATCTTTGGATGTTATGCTTTATTTGACTTGCTGGCATCCTTGGTATTTGGAAAATATGTAAGTATTAAAGTTCATATACACATTTTAATTTTTAAAGACTGTCAGATGAACCAATCATGGTGGTGCATGCCTATAATCCCAGTGACTCGGGAGGCTGAGGCAGGAGGATCATAATATCAAAGCCAGCCTCAGAAACTTAGTGAGATCCTAAGCAAGTTATCAAGACTCTGTCTCTAAATAAAATAATAAAAAATGGCTGAGGATGTGGCTTAGTGGTTAAGTGCCCCTGGGTTATATTCCTGGTCCAAAAAAAAAAAAAAACGACAAAATTACCAAATGAGATGTTCCAATTTACTAGTCTAGAATTACTATTGATATAGAAATAAGCACCATTACAGTTTAAAAATTCTGCTACCTGTGACAATTCCATCTTCAGGGCTGATTAATTTTTAACTTCCATGTCTGTATATCACCATTCATTCTTTTCAAAGAGTTATTTTAGTATTGTATTAATTATACATGTCTTCCCCATTTTTAAAATTTTCTGATACAGTGGATATGTTTATATAAATATGAACTTGTAGAAGTAATCCATGTCTCTTTTTTTGACATTTATTACAGCTTGTGCATATTGGAGCAAAATTTATGTTTATAGCAGGGATGTTCGTCTCAGGAGGAGTTACAATTCTCTTTGGGTAAGTCACTTTCTGATGTTTGAAAGATTGCACAGATTTTATGATCTCTCTTCAGTTTAAAATGTTAATCGCTTATTGAACTGATCAGTACTATTACTGTCTGTTTAATGACAGCATGCAAATAAAGGTGGAAGGAGTTGGGTGAGCAGAGAACAGGAATCCAGGGGCTGGGGTTGTGGCTCAGAGGTAGAACACTTGCCTTGCACGTGTAAGGCACTGGGTTTGATCCTTAGCACCACAAAAAATGAATAAATAAAATAAAGGTATTATGTCCATCAATAACAAATAAAATAAAATAAAAAGAATGAGAACAAGAATCCAAGGGATTGTCTTTAAACCGGCTACTGAATCTATTCACGAAGACTCTTGTGACTGTAATGATAGAAACGTAACGAATTTTTGAGTCACAGATACATTCTGGCTTAGCAAAAACGTGAAAATTGTTTTTTTTTCCCTAAAAAATCTGTTCAAGTTGGGTACAGTGGTGGGCTTCTGTAATTCCAGCTACTTGGCATCCTGAGGCAGGAAGATCACAAGTTTGAAGCCAGCTTGGGCAACTTAGGCAGACCCTCTCTCAGAAAAATGGAATGGAGTAGAACGGAATGGCTGGGGATGTATCAGTTTAGAGGGCCCCTGGGTTCCATCCTCAGAACAATAAAACCATGCCATCAGAAGTCTTTCTTCGCTTCCTGGCTTTGCCTTCCTCTTCTTGGGTAAGGTCTCCCTTTTCAGTTGCAATATGACCCTTGCAGTTTCAGCAGAGAGTACCCTGTTCCTAATAGCTTTGGTGAGAATCACAGAAAGGAGTCTCACTGGCCTCATCTTTATTCATGGCCCATGCCTGCATGGTGGCCATTGTAGCCCAGGGGAAAGAATGTTCTGCTTGGCCAGACTAAGTCACGGTGCTTCCTTTTTAGAGCATAAAGCAGAAGGTTTCTTCCCCTTGGTGTTATAGGGAAAATGAGTACCAGAGGCAAAACAACTATAGAATTCTTAAGCTTAGAATCCTTAAAGGAGCAACATAGTGGCAAATTCTAGGAAACAGCTCATGTAAGTACTTGGGGAACGTAAAGGAATGATAATAAATATAAAGAGATAAACTCAGAAAACCATTACATTAATTTTTTTTTTTTTTTTTTTTTGTGGGAGTCTTCTATTTTCTAGATTCTTTCTTTTTTTGAAGTTGTGAGTTCCACCACGGGAGAAACCTGCTAGTAAGAAGACTTGTCAGCATGATTCTATGTGCAGTCAACCCTCCAAATCTATAGGTTCAGCCTCTGTGAATTCAGCCAACTGCAGATGGCAAATACTTAAGAACAAAGGGTCTATACTTAATATGTGCCAATTTCTTGTCATTATTCCCCAAATAGTAAAGCATAATAACTATCTACATAGTGTTTACATTACACTAGGTACTATAAATAATCTAGAGATGGCTTAACCTATACAGGATAATGTGCACAGGTTATATGCAAAAACTATGCCATTTTATAAAGGGATTTGATTATCCTTCACAGCCGGGGATTCTAGAATCCATTCCCCATAAACACCTAGGAAAAACTGTATTCTAAAAAGGCCTATTTGGTATTTTCATGCAAGAGAACAATTTTGTCAGCAGTAAAGGGCGGTGAAGCTATCATTATGACTCAAATCATAATAAAAACCAACCAAACAAAAACTAGATCGGGGGTGTCCTACTGAAAGTATAACAAAGCAACTTTTAAAAACAACTCATATTCTAAAGAGATTTATTCTAATAATTATGAATAACATGCTATTTTTTTTGTACAGTGGGTACAGTTAAAATTTTAAAAAATTAAAACCAGCTTGGCTTTTGATAATTGTCTTATTGCTTTTCAGTCTCTTGGACCAAGTTCCTGATGGACCTGTATTTATTGCTATGTGTTTTCTAGTGAGAATAATGGATGCATTAAGCTTTGGTGCAGCAATAACTGCATCATCTTCGATCCTCGTAAAAGCTTTTCCAAATAATATTGCTACAGTACTGGTATGTAGTTTATACATTTTTCTTACTTTCTTTTGAGTGTAGCCCCAAATATTTGTTGGACCTTTCAAGTTAAAACTAGCATCCATCCTTCTAGACCTGCTTTTCTCCACTCTTGTGTTTTGTTAAATTTTCACTGATTTTTACTCTGGCAGTAAGGATGTCAAAAAAGTGTACTGTTCCTTGTACTCAGGTGCTCTTCCTGATCTTAGAATTCCCTGAATGGGCAGTTTGATAGGTAAATGTGGCTCAAACCAACTATTCTCTTTACCACTTTTATTTAAATCACCTGAGTCATGTCTTGCTGTCTATTTGTGACCAAAATTGTGGGAGAGATGCTTGGGGCATTCCTCTGCTATAGAAGTGATTTTCCTGGTGGCAAAACACTTAATTCATACTAGAGTCCTTCCTCCACTTTCCCCAGATATGTGAAAGAGGTTTTGGGCATCATCTTGAAGTCTTTACATGCTTCTGTGCTGTGTGAGGAATGCTCTCTTATTTTGACACAAAATTCCAGAACCTGGCATCATCACATTGATACCCATTCTCGTGTATCATCTAGATGCATACAGACCTGGTATTAGAGGTATACCAGATTCCTGTCCCAGCTCTGGGAACCTGCCTCTTTGACTCCAGGAGGTTTTCCCATGACTCCCTCTCTGTGCCCATGTATCCATGCAGGAGACCTCTGGCTTCATATTGGACCAAATGACACCTTCATATAATTGTCTTCTAGACTTCAGAGTCTAATCATCTTAGTAACAAGGACCCTTCATTTATTCATTTAATACTGTCATAGAAAATTTTTACTATCAAATAAACTATTTTCTATTTGAATGGTTTAAGCATTAGGTGCCTACCTATATAGTTTAATTTGGGGTTTTATAGTCATTTGATCTGCCATAGTGGGCATGGTGACAGGCATGCCATTTATATTTCCTTGGAATATATTTCTCAGAAAGGATTCAGAAGAACACTAGTTTGTCGAGCTGCCTTGTAAAACACAGTTTGGTGGCTAAACAAGTTTGAAGTGTGCTGTGTGTGGTTCTCCAACTTAGAGATGTCTAGTTCACATTAGTGTTTTAAGGCTTTGAGAAATCCTGGAGTACGGATACTTTATCAAATGCTCTACAACTCAATCTGTCTATGAACTTTTTCCCAATAAAACCTGTGGAGCTGTTAAAGAAGTGGTTTTCTGCAGATCACTCTAGAAAGTGCTACCCAGGAAATTCCTGTAATGATGGCAACAGTCCATTGGAGAAACTTCAGTGTTGTCATTTCAGCTTTCTATATAAAATTGTAGCCAAATGCTAACACTTCTAACAAAGTTTTGGCCTGGATGGCTTTGTTGTGATGAAAGGTAGACTCCCTATATTCTTTATCAAATTTTGAAAGTTACTAATGAATGGCTTTTGCTTAAACTGTGAGGTCTGAGAGTGAAGGTTGCAAGCCACAGGTGTCTGTTTAAACTTTCTAAAAACCAGATTGATTTAAAAGTGGTATAATTTCTTTAATAGTGAACTATTCCTCCCATTGTACTGTTTAACATTAATTAACAGAACAATTTTGCATGGTGCAAAATTTATAAGTATGAAAAGGAGTATAGAATATAATAAATATATTTGACACATTGAATTGCTCATTCAGTGCCTGGTGCTTTACCCCCCTCCCAAAAGGCAAGAGATATTGTAGGTTTCTTCCAGAGAGGTCCCATGTTTGTGTATGCACACATACACACATATATACACACCAAGAGACAGCACAGTTCCTCTCCTCTTTTGTTTTCTTTTCATTACTGGTAGCCTACTATACTCACCATTGAGCACCTTGCTGATTACACTAACAAGAAAGTCATATTGGAGATTTTTTTTTGTACTTACTTATAAAAAGCTTCATTTTTTTTTTTACTGGCTATGTAGTATTTCATGATATGGTTATAACCTAGTTTGTTTACACTGTTAATGAAAATTTAGATCATTTATATCTTTTCCATTTCAAACAGTGCTACAGTGTGTAAAAAGCTTGTGTGCACACCATGTTACATCTTTATGGCTATTCCTATAAGTTAAATTCCTAGAAGTGGAAATTTGGGTCAGAACTTACATTTTTAATGTTGATAGTTTGTCCAATTGCTTCTGTATTTACTCAGTTAGTAGTGTGTGAGACTGTATCTTTCTACACAGCTTTGGCAACAGAGAGGATTGATAGGTGATGGGTGAAAAAAAGGTATCTTGAGGTCTAATTTGTTTATTTCTCTTAAAAAATGAGAACAGGCTGCTGTTGCTTCTAAGAGATATTTGTATTTTACTTTCTGTCAACAGTTTATAGCCTTTGCCCACTTTTTTTTTTATTGAGTGTTTCAATTTTTTTTTTCACTGATTAGTAGTATCTCAGGATATCTATGGGGAATTAGTTCTTTGTCCATATTTTCCCCAGTTCACCATTTGTCCTTTGATGCGTTTTCCCATGCATTTTGGTGTATTTTCATATCATCATATATATCAGTTATTTCTTTCATTTTCTCTGAGTTTTATATCATAACCAGAAAACCTTCCCACCATAAAAATTTGAAAAGAGGTCAGGCATGGTGATGGCACACCTGTATTCCCAGCTACTCAGGAGAATACAGGAGGCTGGAGGCAGAATAATTGCTTGAGTTCAGGAGGTTGAGGCCAGCCTAGGGCACATAGTGAGAATCTCTCATAAAAAAATTCCATATATAATTTTTTAAGATCTAAATATTTAGAATTCAATTAAATTTGTGTGTATGTATAAATTGTGAAGTACATAGTTGTTTTTTCAGATAGTAACTCGTTAATTCTTCAAATGATCTATATTACCTCCTTTCTCCCCCATTTTTAGGGAGGTCTCGAGGTGTTTTCTGGACTGGGACTAGTACTAGGTCCTCCTTTAGGTGGCTTTTTGTATCAATCCTTTGGCTATGAAGTGCCTTTTATTTTTCTGGGATGCATAGTTCTGCTGATGGTACCACTCAACATATATATTTTACCTAGTTATGGTAAGTCCACATCCTATTATTCATTTTAATAATCTTGAATTTATTTTTATGCCTTTGTAGGAGACCAATTTACTAGATATTCATTTTTGTTTCATGTAATTGCTAATAACTCTTTAGGACACTCTAAAAGGACTGATTTTCTTTACATAAATGTTCTAGGCGATTAGTTTATAAAAAAATTTCTGCATATAACCAATTCTCTCCCCAATCTTTAGTGCAAGCAAATACTTAATTTCTGTTCATAACCTATCACCATAGGCAGTGCCCACCAGAAGTTGTCTTGGACTGAATTAAATATTCATATCAAGAAGTTCCTGTGGGTCACACACTGCCCCATAATTCCTAGGAGGCTGTAAGAGAGAGCAAGGCCATTTCTTCATTTCCAGTGGGCTTTGAACCTGTCTGTGTGACACAGCACAGGGGCAAGGACACAGGTCCACATCAGGCAGGAATGGGCTTCCTCCTGGTTTCAAAGCTTCGTGCCCCATAGGATTCTCCCTGCCCTGTGATAAGTTCACGCTATTGCAGCCAAGTATCCATGAGGGACGTCCTGATGCATGCTCAGGGAGGCACAAAACAGAGTCCTTATCAGGTACTTATGGTTCATTTGTAGTTTCTTTTGTCCAGATGAAATTTATCAGTCAGGGTTATTTATTTGTTTAGGTACTGTGGATTGAACCCAGGCGTGCTTTACTACTGAGTTACACCCCCAGTCTTTTTTATTTTTTAATTTTGAGACAGGTCTCACTGTGTTGCCCAGGCTGGCCTTGAACTGGGGATCTTTCTGCCTCAGACTCCCAAGTCACTGGGATTACAGGCGTGTCACTGTGCCCAGAGAGTCATGGCTATTTTTGTTATACTCAGCAGCAGAGAACAGAGCCAGAGACACACTATCACACTGAGCTGCATAGTGATGTTTGTCTTTCAAAGTGAATGACACCCTTGGTTCTGTAGTTGAGCCTCCTGGACTGTGCTCAGGTTTGCTTGTTGGTTACTTGGCTAATAATTAAGAAATGGACACCAGTCAGATTCTCATGCAGCAGGAGAAGAGTTTTTGATAACACTTCATCACACCAGGTGATAGAAAAAGACTTTGCCAAGATCCCAATCCATGGCAGAACTAGGTGTTTAGTTAGGACTTCTGTGATTACTGCTAGGCTGACCTCAAAATCTGTTGCTCCTGGAGTTCTGGCCTGCTCTCCACATGACCTTCTCTCTCCCTCCTCGTTTGCTGTCTTTTTCAACCATATCTAATCACCAGCCTAGTTATTTCGTACTTTTTTCTTTTTTTTTCTATTATTTCTCAAACTTTTCCTACATTGTTACTGAACTTAAAGTCCCAGATAGCTATATTTTTATGAGCCCTCCCCAACAGTTTGACATTTTTTTTCTTTACCTAGAAGGATCCTTTATTTAAATTGAGTCAGGGGTGTGAAGTTGGAGGGGGGGCGGAAGGGTGGAGTTGGGGGGACTCACTAAAAAAAGTTCCTGGGGTTGATAATATTAAAACTTGTAAATGCAGATTTAGGTGTTCCTGTTTAGGAGTATTTTTAAAAATTGTTCTTTTAAGAGAGTTTTCACACACAAGTTTGAAAATTAAACTAATTTTTTTTTCTTTTGATATTGGCAAAATTTGGTATTCTACAAGTTCTACCACTTCTAGATCTGTGGACATTTGTGGCTTTAGCTTTGGGTGCTAAGTGTCCCTGTCCCTAATTCTTTAGATCTGTTCACAAGCCTCCTCCTTGTATATATAAGAACATATCTAAATTAAAGTCATGGATATGCCAATCTGTTACAACTTGGTGGGTTCCTGTGCTTTCCATCAGAAGAGTCAGTTGAGAATACAACTGTGATGGGAAGGAACTCTTTTTGGGTACTTTTTGCTTGAGCAGAGGGGAGACATAGCCTTTAGCCAGAGAGTGTCAGTTTGGCTCTCTAGATAAAAGAAAGAGCTAGTTTTATTCATATGAAAGGGCTGCTTGCAGGGATTGGCTAGAGTCTAGGAATTTTAATTGGTTTTGGGTACATTTTCTGAGTCTCTTTCTTTGTGGATCCTGGGCAAGCACTTTAACCTTGAGGGAGGCATGGTTAGCCTGGGGTCAGAGTTGCTACAGTTAAGAGAACATAAGGTCTGTGGGGGAAAAGCATGTCCTTGAGTAACAAGTTAAGAGTCTGGGAAATTGCTGTTTGAGTGACTCCTCAGCAGTTTTATCTTCTGTGTTATTTCTCCTCGAAGAATCCTGGCAAGAGGGTACCCTGACTTTAATGATGCACCTGGTTTTTGAGACCAATAGGTGGTAGTCAGTGAGAGGGCAGGGAAAGATACATACCATACTTTTTTTTTTAAATTATTTTTTTTTTAGAGCTTTAGACTTATACATAGTTGTAGGATGCATCTTGACAATCTCCTACATGAACTGGAAATCTATTCCAGTCCAGTTCATGATTCCCCTATTCCCTCTTCCCTTTTCCTCCCACCCTCCTTCCTCTACTCTATTGACTTCCTTTCACTAGTCTGTTAGTTTATATTTGATTGCATACCATACTTTTAGTAGCTAATAGCCATGAGTTAAGGTTTCTGAAGTGCATTTACTCTTTTCCAGGGGTGGGGGTATTTGTCTCCGTTCCCTCCTCAGAGTTTTTACTTCTTTAATCTTAAGGGGTGCTGCTTTTCATGGGGGTCCCTGTCCTCCTCAAATCCTCTTTATTAAAATTCTTAAATTCAGTAAGTTCAACAGACCAATCGTACCTCCTGGAGATTATAGTTAATAAAAATATTTTGTATACAGTGGTCTCCCCTTCTCTGTGGGGCATATGTTTCAAGTCTACCACTGGATATCTGAAATCATGGATAGTACCAACCCCTATATACAATCTATTTTTCCTACACATACGTATCTTTGATAAAGTTTAATTTTTAGGTACAGTAAGAGATTTAACATTAATAACCAATAATAAAATAAAACCATTGTTTTAGCTATACTATAATAAAACATTTAAAATTTATGAATTGTTTCTGGAATTTTCCATTTAATGTTTTCAGACCACAGTTGACCATGAAGAACTGAAATCTAAAACTGCAGATAAGGAGGGACTACTGTACTTGAAAATTACTAATAGAAGAGATTTTTAATGTTCTCACCACAAGAAAATAAGTATTTAACACGTTAAATAAACTTGATTTAGCCATTCCACAGTGTATACATGTACATCAAAAATATATACAATTTTACTCCTTAGTTTAAAAAAATTGAAAAAAAGTTTCAAATTCACCAAGTACAAACTTTATCCTGAAAACCATTAGGAGCTATTGTTAGATTTAGGTACAGGGGTCACGTTCTCTGGAATCTCGCCTCCCACACTTCCTAACAATTATTTATACTATAAGACTTAATTTGTATTACCTCTTCTGGGGAGTTTTCCTAAGTGTTCTTTACCATTGGAATAGATGTTGAGTAAGTAGTGGTGCAGTGCTTAGATTTTTGTCCTGTCCTCCAACACCTAAGGACTCCCCCATCTCCCATCTCTACCTGAAGCTTCAGGGCAGGCATTGCCAACCAGGGAGTCACATCTCTCCAAGAAGAATATATCAGCATATGGAGGAAACTGAGGGAATATCCAGGTAGCTTTGAAACACTCCTCGGGTAATTCTACTGAGCGTCCCTTGAGGTCAACTTTAATTGATTAACTAATAATGTGTTCCTTTCCATAGATGTTTTTAAGGGAACCATTTATGTCGTAACGGTTTCTGTTCTACCATAACCTATACTATTTTTTGCATGTATGATAAAGGTAGCCAATTAAAATTGGAATCTTTAGTAATTCTTATTTTAAAGGTGAATAATAAAGAGTATATATAACTCAATATTCACACTCAGCTATCTCCCAGCTGACAATACCTCACAGAGCCACATGATGGTGCTACTTCTCCTAAATTGAACTACATGCTGTTTCTGAAATGAAACAGGGTGACTGTGCTGAGATTTGTTTCCTTGTTAAATAGTAAATTAAAATTGTTAAATTGGTAAATTAAAAAACTAGCATGAGGTTTAACTTTATCTGCTGTATCCTGAAAAAGTCTTAAGCATACTTAAAATAGTTGAACCACTCGGTGAAGTTTTTTGTGCTTTGCCCCATGCTTAGTCATTATTCAACAAGTCTTTTCATTTATTTATTCATTTATGTGGCGCAGAGGATCGAACCCAGTGCCTCACATATGCTAGGCAAGCGCTCTACCACTAAGCCACAACCCTGGCCCTCAACAAGTATTTTTAGAGTGATTAGCTGTGCCAAGTGCTGCAGGAGAAATGACGATATATGAGGGCTGATCCTCACCCTCAAAGAACTTCCATGTTCAAATCCAGCATGGTATCTGGATAGGATTGCTGTGTCCACCTGCTAACTATCCCTCTCCGTGGGGCCACAGAGCAATCTCTCTGAACCACATATTTATTCTCATTCCCGGCCGGAAATCCCTAGTGTTTCTCAGGCTCCTTGGCTGGGTTCCCAAGGTGTGATCTCTGCCCACTACCTTGGTGTCTTCTGCCTAATCTTGATCTTCCGAGTGTACTTTTTCTCTTTCATTTTCTCACACACCAAATAGTTTTTTTCTCGATTCTAAGTCTTTGAAAAACATGCCTGGATTTTTCTTTCTTCCTTCTTTACTTGCTCATCTCAAGCTCATTCTTTAGGCTCCAGCTTAGATATCACTACTTTAAAAGCCTTTCTTGTGTAGCTCTGCGATGCATTTTAAGACAGCTCTCTCATATCCTACCCCCCTTCAGATTCCATCCTAGCTATCTTCACCCCTTGTTGTAACTTTTCTGCAAGGACGGAGTCTGGATCTGTCTTGTTCATCCTTGTGCATACAGTTTTTTGTGTTGCCTGGCTCAGCAAAGATTTTGCTCAGTAAATTAACTGGAAGAAAGTCATCAAACAATAGTAAACACAAAGGGAAGTGTGATTTCAGTGTTAAATTATGTAATATAAATTGGAAGTTCAATAGGAAACCAGAGGAAGGTAAAATCAATGAGTCAGGGCTAGAGCCAGTTCTTATAGCATAAACAGAATTTGAAAAATTAGCAAGGAAATAAGAAATAGGTCATGCAGTACTTGTGGAGGCTTGGAGAGAACCGTGCCTAATGCTTGTAACAGTGAAGAAGTAGGATTACTATTGAAGAATGGTAGGAAATGGGAGTTCATTTGAACTTACACCTTGGATGTTAAAAGTAATTCCCATAAGGTCAGTAGCCCCACTTCCAATCTAAGTTTGCTTTGCCAACAGAAAAATGTTTAAGACATAACTTTTTTTTTTCTTAATTAATGTGAGTTGCTCCTTAAGCACACCCATATTCTTCCTTGGTAAGGAACTGGTGATACTTTTCCCTGTGTCAAATCAAACTCTGCACATTCTCTATCCTATCAAGGGGAGGCCTTACTTTTTGGTTATAACCTAAAACCTGAGACCATTTCTTCCACTCATATTCTGATTCCAGTTGATTCTTTTTGGGTTTGGGATTTTTTTTTTTTTTTTTTTTTGGTCCTGGTGATTGAACCCAGGGTTGCTTAATCACTGAGCCATATCCTGAGCCTTTTTTTTTTCAGCTTCAAGAATATTTTTTTTATTAGTTAGTCCTGGTGATTGAACCCAGGGTTGCTTAACCATTGAGTCACATCTCAAGCCCTTTTTATTTTCTTTTTTGAGACAGGGTCTCACTCATTTGCTTAGGGCCTTGCTAAGTTGCTGAGGCTGGCCTTGAACCTTTGATCCTCCTGCCTCAGCCTCCCGAGTTTCTGGGATTACAGATGTGCATCCCCACACCAGGCTGGAAACTATTTTTTATAAAACTAAATGTGACCTCTAGATTTGAGTAACTCATGTACAAAGATAGATGATATATAATTTTAGATGAACTCAGAGGTTCAAAAGTTATTTTGATTATTATAAAAGATGGCCTTACCAATATGACTTTTAAAAATAAGTTATAAGATAAAGAGATGTGTCTATGATTTATTCCTTTCTTTTTCATTTTTTTCCTCCAGAGGCTGATCCAGGTGAACACTCATTCTGGAAACTTGTCACTTTACCGAAAGTTGGCCTGATAGCCTTTGTCATCATCTCTCTCAGTTCCTGCTTTGGCTTCCTTGATCCGATTCTGTCTCTCTTTGTTTTGGAGAAGGTAAGTAACATGAGTGTGGAAGAGCTCTTCTTTGTGACAGGTGGATATAATTGCATGCTCCTGGGCCCTTCCTAGGGAAAGACCTTACTGGCTGTGAGAGGAGGTGGACCGGGAGCTGTGCACCAACGTAAGCTGTGCCTTCCCTGTGTGATTTGAGCTGGGGATCTGATCTTTTCACAAATGCCCAAAATGTTGGTCTCTTTTCCAAGACCTTGCTCATGTCACTGTAGGACTGGCTTGGGCATCATCCATATTGCTTAACAAGGACACGTTTCCTGTATTTGTTTGAGTTCCAGGGAGGCATGAAGGGTACTCATTAGCTCATGTGATTTGAGGTGTACTCCTCCAGCAGTCTCTCCTGATCCCCTTACGTTTTAGTTTATTTGATACAATCAATGTAATGATGACTTTGAACTATGTCAGTCTGGGATGGGAGAAAGCAACCAAGAATCTCCTGTGCTACAAAGTTGAGTTCTAAATGTCTGTTGGCCTAGAAATTCATTCTTAGATATTTTTTTTTTTCTTCTCTCTTTTGTGTGTGTAGTGTTAGGGACCAAACACAGGACCTTGTGCATGCTCGTCAAGTGCTCTACCACTGAGCGACATCCCCAGCCCCTCCCTGCCTTTAGATTTTTATGAAGAAAGATAATGATGCAGTCAAGTTAATTACTGGAGAATTAATATGTGTCTATAGAGACAAAAATTTACTAACTTTAGCCCACACTGTCCTTATATAAAGCATTAAAATTAAATAGTACCATTACTGGAAATGTAAGTTTCAGTAAATTTTCGAATATGGTAATTTCATGTGCTTTCTGATCATTGACCTATCGTATAATGTATGGATTAAACTTAGATTTTCTTATAATTGTACACTATCCCTTGAAATCACTAAAGACAGTTTTGAGTATTTCACAGAAGAACTTGGGAGACCTTGTGCTGTCCAAGGTTTAGAGAATAATATGAAATGGCCCTTAATCCGTGAGATCAATGAAGTCCATAATGATCATAATGAAAATACTGTGTGTTTAGGGTTTCACAATCCATCCACGTCTTCAACAACATGCCCCTTTCAGTCATTTTTCTGTGCTCTTAATAAGTTGTGTCTACACACACACATACACACATATCTGTAACTGATCTTGGAGAAAATCAAGTTGTTTGTATCTTAGAATAATTTTTTTTTTTTTTAAAAAGATTGGTTTTGCTCAAGAAAATAGTGTATTCAAAAGTGAAGAAGATGAGAGGAGGTTTCTCCAAAGACAACTGTAGTTGACTCATTTGTGGCATGATAGGTTGGGGCACCCCTGCTTGTTCCTGTTTGATTGGCATCAGACTCATCATGTCCCCAGGGGTTCTGGTGGGTCTGTTGCTTTTTTTCCTACTTCAAGCAGGTGCTGCTGCTCCATCCTGTTAGCCAACTCCAGTCTAAGTAATCTGTAAACATTTATTTTCCTATTTGCCCATCAACATTTTAAAAACTGTTTTTCTTCTGATAGCTTATAATTTTTAAATTGGCAGTTTGCTGTAGGATCACTGGTTGTGTAGACTCTTGGATTAAAATGGTGCTACTCTTTACCCTTCTAGTCGTACAATAAGAAGAGGAAAATTCCGGGCTCTTGTATCTTGTTACTATCTTTAAAGGATTAATTGCTTAACATGTGCTAGTATTTGTCATACAAACTCATAAATATATTGATGATATCTTGACTCGTTAGTTAAGGAAAGTGAAAATAATTTAGATACTGCTCCCAAAGATATCAATATCAGGTTGGCAATATTATCAGAGTTGTATAAGAGCTTACTGTTTGAAAATTCTTTTAAATGGGTCATGTCTTATAAGTTTAAATTAGATATAAATATTCTTTTGAGATGGAGAAAGTAGGTACATCAGTGGTTTTCATACCAGTGGGCCCCCGAGTGCAGTCTGTGGATTATGAGTATCAGTGATGCTTATTAGAAATATACATCCTCAGGCCCCATTCCATTCCCCAACTTCTAAATCACAAACCCCAGGGCTAAGATCCAAGAACCTGTTTGAATAAGCTCTCTGTGTAATTTTTATGTACACAAAAAGTTGTGAAACACTGGATTGGACATTAAAATGCTATAATCCATACAAACTAAATTATGTTTTTTTCCATATTTTTATTGGTGCATTATAATTATACATAATGGTGCAATTCATTGTTATGTATTCATCTAACTGAATATGATTAATATCAGAAATTACAAAACAAAATATCTATGTCCTCTGACCCCTGGTTAGGATCCCTCCCAGAGGCGGGGGAAAGTCACCCAATGTTCAAAAAGTAAGACAAAAATTAGGAATAATGCTGTGTGTTTATCAGTAGAATTGTGGTAATAGTAAGAGTTGAAGAAATGCAGGTGGGAGAAGTGGATGCTTGGTTTTTGAAAATGACTTAACCATGTAACTTGAATGTAGGGTTTGTTTTTCAGTTTCATTTACCAGCCGGATATGTGGGACTGGTCTTCCTGGGTTTGGCACTATCCTACGCCATTTCTTCACCACTCTTTGGCCTGCTAAGTGATAAAATGCCAGTATGTACATTTTATATGTGATCTTTTATATGTGATCTTTTATATCAGTGATCTTCCAACTGTTCCTCTAAAAATAATGGTCCATTGATGAAAGTTGACACACTCAATTGGACTGCTAGAGAAACTCCAGTGTCTTCTGCAGATTCACTTTTAATTGCTTAATGTGGGAAAAGAGAAGTCTTATGTTAAAAGGATTATACTTTCTATTGTGTATATGTGCCATATTTTTTTTATCCATTCATCTACTGAAGGGCATCTAAGTTGGTTGCAGAGTTTAGCTATTGTGAATTGTGCTGCTATAAACATTGATGTGGCTGTGTCCCTGTAGTATGCTGTTTTTAAGTCTTTTGGGTATAGACCGAGGAGACGAATAGCTGGGTCAAATGGTGGTTCCACTCCCAATTTTCCAAGAAATCTCCATACTGCTTTCCATATAGGCTGCACCAATTTGTAGTCCCACTAGCAGTGTGTGAGTGTACCTTTTTCCCTACATCCTCACCGAAACTTATTGTTGTTTGTATGCATAATAGCTACCATTCTGACTGGAGTGAGATGAAATTTTAGAGTGGTTTTAATTTGCATTGTGGCATATATACACAATGGAATA